AAGACTCATGGCAAGTTATCGAAAACGCTTGATTGCAGTTGTTGCTGCTAAGGGTGGCCCAACCAGTTATTAGGTTTAGGGGGCGAACACTTGTTCACACAGGGCTATGTAGTTTTGGATTTTGTTTTCCCTTAATAATAAAAACCTTCATTTAAAAACTGCATGATGTGTTTACTTGTGTTATCTTTGACTAATATTTAAATTTGTTTGATGATCTGAAACAAAGTGTGACAAACATGCAAAAAGATAAGAAATCAGTAAGGGGGCAAACACTTTCTCACACCACTATATTGTATCATCACACCTGTTATTAACAGCTGTAGTCAGCTCAGACTCACAGGAGATAACTGGATTCCGTGATAATGAGAGACAAAATATAAATCAAAAAAATCCTACATGCATATCACATAGTATATGTCCACTAATCCTTCCAGTGCAGTAGCCTAAGTGATGCTTGTATACAATTATGACCAAAGGAAATTCTTAGTTGACTGATTGCTTCACTTGAAACTGCAGTGATTTATCTCAGATTCAGTCTGCATTAAAGAACAGTTCATATTAATGGATAATATTGTGAAGCTAATTGTTCAGTCATGAGTTATAACTAGTTGTTTGTTGCCTATACAAAGACTGCAATAACTTGATTGAGCTTAAAGTTGCACAAATCAATATATATGATACAGACAAGTGACAAATAAAGGAAGCCAGGATAAGAGAGTGGTCTATTCCAGAATGACAGTGCTCCCCATCCACAGAGCACAAGGGGTCAGTGAATAGTTTGATAAGTATGAAAATGATGTGAATCAAATGCTGTGGCCTTCACAGTCACCAGATCTCAACCCAGTTGAACGCCTATGGGAGATGTTGGAGTGACGTGTTAGTGTCTCCACCACCATCATCAAAACATCACATGAGAGAATATTTGTTGGAAGAATGTGGGTCATCCCTCCAGTACAGTTTGGAGACTTGGAGAGTCAATGCTGAGGAGCACTAAAGCTGTTCTGGTGGCACGTGCTGGCCCATTGCCTCACAGAGTCACTTTATGTTGGGTTTTCCTTTCATTTGTCACATGTCTGTATGAGTTATGCAAAATGTCACTTATATTGACAAACCCACAGTGAATTAACACCCTACTCTGTAGTTGTCCTCGGGTTTATGGAGGTTTTAGACTCTTTTAGCTCATTGTTTTGGTTTTCTGATGCCTAAATTCTCACCTCTACTGTCCAGCAGGAACAGAAAGCTGTTTTCAGCAACACAGCTATGATAAGCACACAGTATGCTACCTGCTCAGCACCAAACAGCAGATTAACAGAAAAGTTAGCAACTCCTGGTGAGCATAGAGGAGCACTTAGCAGCTTGGTTTACAAAAGCAAGAATAAAGGGGGAGTGAACATTGGACTTAGATCCTTTCGGTGGACAGACACGTTTCAAATTGAAAAATCATGATGCAGCTTAAAGGTATGCTCCCATTATAACAGTATAACCAAACATATTTCCACATTGCATCCCAAGCAGTTTTGTGGATGTATGAAATCTCCGCTGTGAACTGTGTTGAGATACAAATCATCAGTGAACTCGGTGGAAAGTTTATGATTTCACTAAATTCAGTGTTAAGGACATGATTGGGATGGTCATCCAGTGTTGCCGCTGGTTGGAAGGAAAACCTGTATATTCTTGACATTCACGAAGATGCATTGTGTGGTTGTCATTTGCATGACTGGGCTGTCTGAGGATTTCATCTTTGTTTTTGCAGCTCATCTATGAGAGCTTTGCCAGGTATCTGGTGGAGCATAAAGGCTATGACAAGGACCTACTAAACCTAACCCCAGCTACCTGGGACTTCTGGTGAGTCTACAACCTAGAGGGCAACTATAATAGAAGCAGCTGTATTAAATATGTTTATCTTTCAGGGATATTAAGGCCATATAGTAATTTTTAAGTGAACATAACACATAGTCCCTTAGGGCACAGAAACACCAAATCAATGGTTGGCTGTTGGCTCATCCTCCCTGTGTGTCCTGCACCATTGGGGCTAGTCAGCCCCTGTCGGCAGCTTTTCGGCCGATTCAGCATATTGAATCGGCATCACACTGTTGGGCCTTGTTGATGAAAGAGAGACGATTCTGATTGGCTGTTGAGCTTAGTGAATCGATGCACAAGAAGAGAACAGTTCGGCAAGGCCCCTTCAGCCTGTCGCTGTACTATCCATGATTTCACCCATTTAGTGTAGTTTCTCCTTGTTTTTCCCTTCTATGATCTACTTTCTTCTTCCACAACCAAAGGACCAAGGGCAGAGAATGGCAGTGTTATTTGCATGGTCTTATCAGAAACATTCTCTATGAGAAACAGCTATAAACAGTGGCTTTTTTGGTTGAGTTTTGTGTAGTGAATCGAATTGCAGCAGAGGCAGCAATATGAGTGGACAGCATATATCTTTAACTGTATAGTGGACAGTACTGTATAATGGTTTTTCTGTTGTTGAAGGAGAAACAAGCTCTGTTTTGGAATACGAAGCCAATTTGAAATTTTAATTTTTGAGCAAGATGTTCAGCATGAGTTTTATAGGTCAGCTGTCTATTCAAATTCAAAAGTATTTTTGCTGTACTTTGTCATTTACATCCCCATTTAGAGCATCAGTGATCAACTCTGTTTTGAAATGCACACATTTTGTTTTTCCTGAGTTTAGATGAAAGAGCCCATGGCATGCTCATTTTGTATCTCCTGCTGCTGTTATGGTTACTCTAGCCTTTTGCCGTCTCGTGCTTTTGGTTTGGCCCTTTTCCATTTTGTCTCACTTCACCTGTTCTCGCTTCACCCTGGTTGTAATCATGACTCATTGTTCTCACCTGCCCCTAATAAACTCCTTTCTGTTGTCACTGCTCTTCTGAGTCTGCATCTTGGGTCCTACCTCTCCCGCACACCATCCTAACAGCTGCTGGTGTTGTGACACAAGTGGACAGCACAATGAACCGCAGCGGCATTAATTAATTTGAATTTCCCCTCAATAGATAGGTAAACAGTGGTGTGAAAAAGTGTTTGCCCCCTTACTGATTTCTTATCTTTTTGCATGTTTGTCACACTTCAATGTTTCACATCATCAAACAAATTTAAATATTAGTCAAAGATAACACAAGTAAACACATCATGCAGTTTTTAAATGAAGGTTTTTATTATTAAGGGAAAACAAAATCCAAAACTATATAGCCCTGTGTGAACAAGTGTTTGCCCCCCTGTCAAAACACTGGTTTATCGCACCTGAGTTCAATTTCTCTAGCCACACCCAGGCCTGATTACTGCCACACCTGTTCGCAATCAAGAAATCACTTAAATAGGACCTGCCTGACAAAGTGAAGTAGACCAAAAGATCCTCAAAAGCTAGACATCATGCCGAGATCCAAAGAAATTCAAAACCAAATGAGAAAGAGAATAATTGAGCTCTATCAGTTTGGAAAAGGTTATAAAGCCATTTCTAAAGCTTTGGGACTGCAGCGAACCACAGTGAGAGCCATTATCCACAAATGGCGAAAACATGGAACAGTGGAGAACCTTCCCAGGAGTGGCCGGCCGACCAAAATTACCCCCAGAGCGCAGCGACAACTCATCCAAGAGGTCACAAAAGACCCCACAACAACATCCAAAGAACTGCAGGCCTCACTTGCCTCAGTTAAGGTGAGTGTTCATGACTCCACCATAAGAAAGAGACTGGGCAAAAATGGTTTGCATGGCAGAGTTCCAAGACGAAAACCACTGCTGAGCAAAAAGAACATAAAGGCTCGTCTCCGTTTTGCCAGAAAACATCTTGATGATCCCCAAGACTTTTGGGATAATACTCTGTGGACAGACGAGACAAAAGTTGAACTTTTTGGAAGGTGTGTGTCCCATTATGTGTGGTGTAAAAGTAACACCGCATTTCAGAAAAAGAACATCATACCAACAGTAAAATATGGTGGTGGTAGTGTGATGGTCTGGGGCTGTTTTGCTGCTTCAGGGCCTGGAAGACATGCTGTGATAAGTGGAACCATGAATTCTGCTGTGTACCAAAATATCCTGAAGGAGAATGTCCGGCCATCTGTTTGTGGCCTCAAGCTGAAGCGAACTTGGGTTCTGCAGCAGGACAGTGATCCAAAGCACACCAGCAAGTCCACTCCCGAATGGCTGAAGATAAACAAAATGAAGACTTTGGAGTGGCCTAGTCAAAGTCCTGACCTGAATCCAATTGAGATGCTGTGGCATGACCTTAAAAGGGTGGTTCATGTCCGAAAACCCTCCAATGTGGCTGACTTACAACAATTCTGCAAAGATGAGTGGGCCAAAATTCCTCCACAGCGCTGTAAAAGACTCATGGCAAGTTATCGAAAACGCTTGATTGCAGTTGTTGCTGCTAAGGGTGGCCCAACCAGTTATTAGGTTTAGGGGGCAACCACTTGTTCACACAGGGCTATATAGTTTTGGATTTTGTTTTCCCTTAATAATAAAAACCTTCATTTAAAAACTGCATGATGTGTTTACTTGTGTTATCTTTGACTAATATATAAATTTGTTTGATCTGAAACATTGGGGGCAAACACTTTTTCACATCACTGTATGTACCGATGAAAAGAGATGTGTAACACTCTAAACAAAGTGGGTAGTTGAGAAACCCTGTATTTTAACTGGCATAATTAGGACATAGTAACTGCTCCAGCCTTACAACAATTCTCTCTAACGTTACAGAAAAAAGGCATTAACAGACATGCCCCTTTTTTTTTTTTTTAACTTACCGTTAAGTCCCACCCAGTAGTGGAAACATCACTCCTTTCAAGTAGCTCAAAGGTCGCTAAATCCAACCGGTGGTCGCTGTGTCTCCCCCCACATGACCACATACAGTCCAAAAGTAGTGAAATTAATTCCAGCAGGTAGTGTAGCTTCGATAATATCATGGATTATTAACCAGCAACACATCGCATCCAAATATTTTACGTGATGTGATGGCATGATTGCAAAAAGCTTCAACCAACAGTTTTGTTCAGTTTTGATCACTGGTGGGAGCAGTGTTACCCTTGCACACAGATAATAATCAGATATATATATATTTTTTTTAATAAAGGCGATGATTGTAAAGGTGACAATGTCCAAAGTTCAGCACAGATGTCCAAAACAATGTAACCCAATTTCTTAGTTAATGACAAGGCATTGATTAGTTGTACTGGGAAACAGTTTTTTACATAACACCACTTCCTTTGCTTTTTCTGTCACATCTAAATGAGTTGTGGACAGGACTTCAGAAAGTTCAGTACTGAGCCAGGTCTCATTATGTCCTCCACACTTTCATTCAATAGTCTTTACATTTACAAAATCCATCTGTGGAAGCAAACTCCTTATATTTAGGTGTAAAAGGCACACTTCTTGGAAAAAAAAAAGAGATGAATTAATTTCGTTACTAATATCAGATGTGTTCAGAAGGCAGTTTTGTTTGGTAGAAATGTGACTTGCTCACTGGAGACAGCCGTGCTTGGCAAATAAAATAATAGATAGTGTATATAGGTATAATGTAATAAGGTTGTCAGGATTCAGTGACCAGGAGACTCTGGAGATGAGATTGCAATGTGTGCAGGATAAATGGTAGTGATGGGTAGATGAGGCATCATGAAGCGTTTCGACACTTTGCCAAACTGTATTGATACTGTGTCACTGAATACTGACACCTGCTGGACCTTAAAAATCCCTACAGGCAACCTAGTTGACAGACTCAACTGACACTGATTTGGTGACCTAGTATATACAGTATTATAATTTAAGTCATTGTATTTTATATTGTATTATTTCATATCTTCATTTAAATTTAAAATTTCCTTGATATTTTTAGATACAGTCAATAAATAATGTGAACATGTATCATAACGTGAAAATCTAAATGAGAAGAGGTTTGGATAGATTGCCTTTTGGTTGTCCCAGTATCTCATAGGATCCTGGGACCTGGCAATACCTTATTTTCCGATATGAGATCAAAATGGTCCCACACGGCGGAAACCTTTCTTTTGGCTTGAGACTGTTCCATAATTCTTGATGAATGTGACGATGAACCGCAAAAGATCAGAGAATCGTTTTGGCAGATGTATCCCGTTGACATATGCGCTTCCTTATAAACACAGTTTGGCGCGGCAGTGTCAGTTCGAAACAGTTCCTGTATCGGTCACGTGACTTTCTTAAAGCGATAGGCGCACCAACACGGGGTTTTGCTCTACGAGCTCGACGCATGTGGCGACGCATCGGTGTTGCCAGACCCATCACTAATAAATTGACTGGAATGTGTTTTACAACAGCTAAGTGGGAGTTTAACAGTCCATGCCCCATGAATGATAGGGGATCAGAGATGAAAGGGAAAATGGCTGCAGGCCAGTAGGGGGCAAATGTGGTGTTTGCAGTGGTGGAAAGAGT